ATATTTTGTACGATTTGGAATGCTTTCTTTCCCAAGAACTACACAGTTAGCAGGCAAGACTGGCCAAGGGCTAACAAAAGTAACTTGGTGTCTGGTGCAGGTGCTCAAGTACCAGGTGCAAGGAATTGTGGCTCGCATAAGCTGTTGGTGCGTCCAGTGATGTTGTACCTTTTATTCTAGCAGTAGGCTTCCAGGCCAGGATCTGGGGTCTCTGTGCCTTCACTGTGGTTCACATGCCCTACACATCTCACGCTTGGTGGTCATTTTGCCCTGAGGTGACTGAAGTACAAACAGCTAGAAGATGGGAGACAGAATGCAATAGTTAGTGTTAAGAATCAAAGCACATGGGGCAGGGTCTTTGCTCAGTGATGGCGTGCTTGCCTAGTTCTGTTTCGGTTCCCAGCACTCATCCTCCACAAAATCAAAGTGCAGAAGCTGAGAGGGAGTGTTTTCTGGTCACCACAGATTATATTTTTTATATAAATATATTGGCATAAAGAATGATTCCTGGGTACATTCCATTTGTCCTTTGTTTCCTCCTTTGTATGATTCTATTATTATTGATGTCATTAAAAGTGCATTCATCAGGCCTGGCTGTCAGAGAGTTGCACTTATTTTATGCCCACAAGCAGTTTTGAGGTAAATCTCTTGCTTTAGGGCATTAGTTGATCAATACAGACATCTATGGTGAAGGATTGTTTTCCCACCTCCTCTGTAGGACTTTATTTTCCTAGGGCACTCTGATCTTCCTATGAAGAAACCACTCAGTTGGGATAGGGACCACAAAAAGTCGATTCTGTCTCCATTGATGTTTAATACCTTCAGATGCATCGTCCTGTCTGTTTCATCTCCTTGTAGAGATGTCTCCCAGAGTCGCCACCAGCTCTCTCCCCAGAACTGCTCGTTCTCTGGACCTGCCACATAGAGGAGACCCAGGGCTCTTGCCTCACCCTCTGGGACCTCCTGCTGTTTCTCCGTCAAACCCTCTGGTCCTCAGATCCCAGATTATCTTTTGTTTCAATGCATTTTCCTTTGCAGAGTCCTCCAGTATTTTCCTAATAAGACATATGGAAGGTAAATCTCTTTTATGCTTTGCATGTTGAAAATATCTTCTAACTTAATTGCTAATTTGATCAAGATACAGATTTCTTCATGGAAAATTAGATTTTGCTCAGAATTTTAAAGAGCTTGCATTGTTTTCCTTTAATATCTCACATTGCTGTTATAAAGTCCAGATTCCAGAATCTCACCGTGAGAGTCCTGTGACACATTTGCTGACTCTCGGACCTCATGCAAGTTACTTAACCTTTCCTAGCCTCAGTTTCCTCATCTTCAAAATGGAGATAATAATAACAAATACTTCAAAGGGTTGTTGGGAGACTTAAATGAATTGACATCTTTAAAATGACTAAAGCAGTACCACTTAGTGCTATTTAGGCATTAGCTTTCATTACTATTTCAAATACAGAAAAGTTTCCTAGAATTCCAGAGTTGATGGCATGATGCAAGTCATGACACCCCACCCTCTCTTTGCTTCTTTTCTCTTTTTCTAGAACTCATAATACTTGCATTTTAGCTTTCCTAGACTAAATCCTCATTTTTAAAAAAAAGCTTTTCTACTTCTTGAATTTCTTTCTCTCTGTGTGTAGGTCTTTCTTGCTCTACTCTCTGGGAGGTTTCTGCAGCTTTATCTTCTTATATTTGGTTTCCCAAGTTGTGTTTTTTTCTCTGAGTGTTATTTATAAATGGCATCCTGTTCTTGTTTCATGGGTACAATATTTTCTTATATGTGTCTGAGAACAGTGAGTTTTTAGTTTCATCTGCCTGCAGGACTCGGTTTCTTTCAGAATTCTTTTCTCCTGCTGGTGACTTGTTTTGTACACTACCTTCAGATTAAAGGCTTTTTGTAGAGGCACATCTCCTTTGCTGCCTTGCTCATGTTAATAGAAGAGACACATGTGTGCACACACATGCTCACCCACATCCTTTGTGAAAATCTGTGCATGGGAGAAGGATTTGTCAACTGTGGGCTCCTTATACATATGAGGACTTGTTTGGGCTATTGTACTGGGGATCCCCCAATAGCAATGTCTCTTTGTCTTTTTTCTTTGACTGATCAAATTGCCAGGGGGAATTTCTTGCAAACTCCTGCTTGAAAGATAAGAGCTTGGCTGCCAGTATTCTAGAGGCATGAAGCTGGTGTCTCACTGATTAATGAAGCAAGATTTTCATCTTCTCTTCCTGTTCTTATCTGTGCCTGAGTTTCCCAGTCCAGACACCCTCTGCCAGGGTATGAAGAAGGCAATGTTTTCGGCCACTGGAGGCGGGGAAGAGATCTGTGATCTAACCATTCCTTACAAACTTCCAACTAATCTCATTATTCCCAACCCACCTTCACCTCTGCTCTGAAGGTACAAAATAGTGTTAATCCCAAACCTCTTGGGGATCCTGTGATTCAAATCAAACTGCATTTTGTCTTTCTTGACTGCTTCTTTAGGAATCCCCTTCTCAGGTTTTGTTATGTTGGATTTCACTTGCTGTTATGTCTTCCCTCTGAAAATTTCATTGCTACAAAATTTTCTATTGTCTTCACTTTTGTAATTTTATGCCAATGAGACTCCTTTGTTGTTACTTTAAGGGGTTTCAGGAGGAAGCAGAAGTGCTCACCACCTCAACTTTAAGTGCAGACTTAAATTAAAGATCATCAACAATTAAGTGTTTTATTTAACCCTTAGTAATACATATGGCCTTCTATGGAAAGTCTTTGAGTATGAAAGATAACATATCTTTGTTGGTTACCAGGAGTAATGTTCAGAATATTGTGCAACTGGTGTGGCAGGGACTGAGCAGTCCAGAGGGGTGCTTTCACTATTGGTACCTGTGGTTGCATATCATACCCTGAGTGTGTGAGCCAAGGGAAGCCATCAAAAGCAAAGACAAATGCCTCATGAACTGGAGCACTAGTGAAGTTATGCCATGAAACAGGTTTTTTCCCCCTTTTTTATCCTTGACTCTGTTCCTTGCATATAAAAATTTGGGAAGTGGGAAATGCCAGGAATTGAATTTAGAACCTCACACTTGCCAGGCAGGCTTGAACATAAATTTGGCCTTGACAGAAGAAAGGTTATGCAGAAAAAGATATGGCTGGACCTCTGCTATAAGACGGATTTCAACTGGATGAGGCTGATGAAGAACAAATGAATGCAGAAATCAGTAACCCATGATGCTGGCAAGGCACCCTTCTCTCATGTACAGAGTTTCCCCTAGGGCTTTTCAAGATGGAAGAATAACAGGTTAGAAAAGACACAGTCTTTTAGGAAATCTGCTCATTGTGATTTAGGATTCAGATACACTCCCTGGAAGTATGTTGTAATTTTTCCAAATTAAAAGGAAATGTCATGACATTCATTCAGAATGAATAAGAAAAATAAGAGGAAGCTTAGGACATTCTCAGTGTTTACAAGTGAGAAATATCTGGTGACAAATGTTTTTATTGTTTTTCTATCGATGGTTAAGCTGAATCAATTTACAGGCATTTCCTAATTTATACTAGGAAAACTGATATTTCTCTCCTTTTTAGAAGCTTAAAATTTTAACACATAAAGAGTTAACAGGGCCCAAGGATTTAGCTCTGCGGCATAAGCACCTTCCTGGCAAGTGCAAGATCACGAGTGAGTTCGATCCTTGGTACAAAAAAAAAAAAACAAAAAACAAAAAACAAAACAGTTAACAGACTCACACTCAAAAATACACTATTAACAGTAGGAATGGTACTTTCATTCTCTTGAATGGCTTTGTACTATTTTATTATGTTTGATACTATTGTGTGTGAAGGTATGCTCCACTATTTCAAAGAAAAGAGACATTATGGTAGCTACTGTTGATGTCTGGTTGTCTTGTTGTGAAATGCTGTGTTGCTTGCATTGTTTCATTCTGGTTTCCTTTGTTTTGTTCTCTTTTGTTTTATTCTCTTTAAAATTAAAAAAAATAGTAGGAGTGGTAATCTAGAATGACCAAATAGCCTCAGTTGATGAGGAAATTCTTTATTTCACATAATTAACACCATACATTACATAATGATTCCAAGTAATACATTTGGAATAAAAAAAAAGATTTTAAAAGTCACCACTTGCTCCAAATAAAGATCATTAACAGATATTAACACTATTAGTTAAAAGAGGATGGGAACTGGATGTTCACATGGTGTTAGAGTCTTGTACAAAGAATATTTAATGACTGCCAGGAGAAGATGGTTGCTTTACAAAGGAAAACACCCAGGAATGAGCATGTTGGTGCTGAGTTCACCAGAGCAGTGGAGTGAGGTGCTCTTTCACTCCAAAATAGGCAAGAGTTTCCAGAGAGTTAGTATTCTTCCCAGAGCACCCCAGTTGTCAGGAATAATCTACTCACTGGAAAGATCAGATTCAGTAATTCATGCAACTACAATGAGAATACTCATGCTTAGCTGTTAGCTGGGTCCTCTTTCCCGAACTGTCCTCTAAAACTACCTTCTCTACATGAGCAGTCTGAGGTTCCTCTTTTTTTTTTTGTACCAGGGATCAAACTCATGACCTTGTGCTTGCCAGGCAAGCGCCTATGCTACTGAGCTAAATCCCTGGTCCGAGGTTGCTCTTTTTCATTTCCTCTATTTCTCCTCTCTCCCTCCCTCCCTTGTATCCTCTTATCCTACCTTCTTTCTTTCCTTCTCTTCCTGTTTATATGTTACCAATTCTTTCTTGAAACAACAGAAGTAACTGTCCTATCCACTCAGGCACAGAGGTAGAGTGACAGTGACAGTTAAAATGCAGAACTGCTGGGGCTGGGGATTTAGCTCAGTGGCATGAGTGCCTGCCTGGCAAGAGCGAGGTCATGAGTTCTATCCCCGGTACGGGCGGGGGGGCAGAACTGCTTCCTGTAAGGCTACATTGCTCTTAAGATACAGCTGTTGCTTTACCATGTTTGTCACCCCCATCCCATTCCCGTTTCCGCTGCCACATCAGGGAGCTGGACTATGCCATGTTACGCCGCCTGGAGAAGAGGATCCTGGTTGATCTCCCCAGCCAAGAAGCCAGGCAGGCCATGATCCACCACTGGCTGCCACCTGTGAGCAAGAGCAGAGCCTTGGAGCTTCGCACAGATCTCGAGTACAGTGTGCTGAGCCAGGTGGGCTTCCCTGGAGGGAGATACTCATGGCCAAGAATCTGACACAGGGTTTTGAAAGGAGCTGCTTCCTTGAGGTACTTTTAAGATCCCAAGCTCCCCTAGTAAAGCAGCAGACTTCTTCATGAGAAAATGACTCCTTGTCACTTGGGAATTTTCAGGCAGAAATACTGCAAACTGGAGGAAACAGCATGAAATTTAGATTCAGAGATCTATGGTCAAATCTTGGCCTTGCTGCTAATTAGTAGTATACTTTTCTGTGCCTCAGGTTCCCAATGTGTGAAATGGCTAGCCGACAAGCAACATTTTAAAGTCTTTCACAGACAGAAAAGCTCTAGGTGCATGTTCATTTACCCTCATTATCATCAGTACCCATTCCCAGGGTATTGTAGACATATTATTTGCTTTAGGAGTACAACTGCACAAGATGTTCTCTGAAATTTCTCAATGGCAGAAATTATTTTATTACAAGAACAAATGTCTGAAATTTGATTGGCCTTGGGACAGGCCTCTATAGGCTAACCTGGGTAGTTCATTCCTCTACCAATATTTTACAGTGCAATCAGATGGGGTAGGAAGTGATTGGCCTATGCTTAGGTTATCCAGATTTGTTAGGAGCATCTCTTCCTATGCTTTTACTTGCCTGGAAGTTTCCGTGTAGTTGTTACATGACAGACACAGAATCTAAACCCAGGTTCTCATATTGGGTGTTGTTCCAAGAATGCACAGGCCATCAGCATACTACTAGTTGACCAGTGGCTGGGTTTGTAACTATTTCAGGAGACGGAGGGCTACTCAGGCTCAGACATTAAGCTGGTTTGCAGGGAAGCAGCCATGCGACCTGTGAGGAAGATCTTCAGTGCACTTGAAAATCACCAGGCAGGTATGGTTGGGATCCCTTTGAAGATTCTCTGAGAGAGAAATGTGTTTAACAATCCAACTCTCACCAGCAGATGGAGCCTGGTCCCTGTTTTTGGTGGCCTTTTGCACTTGTAGCACTTTTGTCCTTCAAATCATCCCTCTTGCACTTTTGCTATGGTGTTTCAGATTGACTTTGCCCACAGATGATAAGTTCCTTAGGGCCTCAGCTTTTATTTCTCTGGCACACACTGAGGTTGGGTTGGATCCATTTGAGGCACTATATAAATATTAAATAATACTTTGATCATGATACATTTAAGTCACTTTTGGGGGGGGTGTTCTGGGCTTTAGGGGCTAAATCAGTTGCACATTAAAGAATTTTTTTCCACAGGTCTCTTTCGCCTTGCTTTGTGCTGCATTAACCATTAAGAATGCTGCATTATGCATTGTCTTGAAAGGGTCTATTAACCTTTCAGGTGCATTGATCACTGAGGTTGATTGTTATGCTGTTATTATGTTTTCATCTAGAGAACAGCCATTTACCTGGGATCCAGTTGGATACAGTGACTACAGCTGACTTTTTGGATGTTCTAGCTCACACCAAGCCTTCAGCAAAGAATCTGACTCAGAGATACTCAGCCTGGCAGAGAGAATTTGAGTCTGTCTGAAATCGCACTTACCCTGATCTGGGTACTAGGTCAACCATGGAGGTGCCCTAGGTTATTAGTATAGGTGGGAGAAACATCATGATTGGAACAGAAAAGAGGAAAATGATTTTGAAACAATGGAGTAATTTGAACAACAGTATTTTATGGAAAGAGAAGATATTTTCATTAATTTTTCATCACAGATGTCAGCAAAATATTGGTGATTTCAATTACATTTATATGTGCTATTACAGCAAGCATTGGAGATTTGTCTTACAATTAGACTCCATAAAATTTTGATGAACAATTTCCTGTAGTTTCCTCATTTGTAAACTATTATCTTCACTTTGAATAAAAAGATTTTCTACAGACCTACTCGAGTTTTTCTTGCAACACTGATATCCATCAATATGCTTGCTAAATGGCTAAACACAGCAAATAAACTTTTGATTTGTTCTCTCCTCCCTGCGGTCCCTCGTGTTCTAAGGGAAAAAGGACCAAAAGGCCGCCATAGAATAAGCTGATTGTACACAATCTTTGATTTGTCCTTCATCTTACCCTGGTCCACTGCCATAACCATTGTCCTCAAATCCTCAATTCAAAACCATGGTTCGGTTTTCCAGAGAGTAAGTAGCAGAAAACCTCCATTCTCCTGCCTTGGCTAAAGGTGGTCATCTGGTTTCTCAGCAGGGGCTGGTTTCTGTGACTTCCATGAGTCTGTTTACCAGCTTTTAACCAACCCTCCCTTTTCAATTATGCCTCCTCATAGCTTTCGTCCTCTCAACCTTATGCCTCCAAGACTCATCTTTGAGGTCATTCTACAGGGTGAAATTTGGTTATATTTTCTTTATACTGATTTTAGTTCTCAACATTCCATTTACTTTCCATTTTCCAAATTATCTTTTTGTCCATGTCTGCTGTAGGATTCTCATTGGTTAACCTTGTTCATTTTTAACTTTGCTATTTATTTTAGTGGAGCTTTAAGATCAACTACCATATGAGCAACCTACCATAAAGTATCTATATTGTTTAAATTTATCTGGTTGGTGTGTTGTTGGATGAAAATGTAACAACCCAACATGAGGTATTTTCTTCTGGAGCAGAGGTTAGAACTTAAAGGCCTATAAAAACAAAAAGGTTGACCTAAAATGAGTAATGCTGGTTACAGAAAAAGGGACATGGTGGGGACATGGTAACATGTAGATGGCCAGATACTCTTTGAAGGGCACAGCAGTGATCAGCCTCAGGTGAAAGAAAGTGGGCCCAATACTGTCTGCATTTCCAATCTTTCTAGAAAATCTAGTAATTGATTTGCATTTCAATCTTCTCAAATGTTGGCAACTAAGCTTAACCACAGCCTATAGAAATCACATGACCATACTTTAGATGGACAACACTTAGATCAGATAACCCCAACCTTAGTTTTATTGGCTTTTCCATCATTCATAAGCTTCTCTGATTTTATTAGGGTTCATCTATGTGCATGTGCTTTGTCTCAAAAGCAAGCTCCATGGCTGAGGAACCTTTTTCTGCTGCTATCCAATGAAGCATTCTTTAAAGCGGCATAGGTCAAAATCTACCTGAATCCTGTATTTGCATCACAAGTTATGACTGCTATTCCTGAACTCTTAGCTCCCTGCACATGATCTCTTCCGTTAATGGATTTACACAACCATTTTGAGCTTGTCAGGACCCTTTCTACTGTTAGATATATTTTTATATACTTCAGCCCCTCAACTAGAAAGACACACATCACAGGAGCCAGAGTTACATGTGCTTGCTGTCTTCTCATGAATTTAAAATACATACCAGATTTTCTCAGGCACATCAGCGGTAGACATCAGTACAGATGTGAATGACATGAAGGTAAGCACTGAAAAATGTATTCAAAGTTGCTTGAGAGCTATGTCGTTTATATTATGATGAATGATTTCTGGTGCTCTGGTGCCTCATTACTGCCCCATAAAGACGGCAACATACTCTTGGCTAGTAGGCCTTGATGGCTGGTATAATTAAAAAAGTCAGTAAAGGCCTTGTGTGTGCTGAAAAAAGGCCTTTGTGACTTAGGCCAAATAAATGTGATAATGCAAACACGGTCCTATGAAAGCAACAGCTAATATAAAAAGGAATTCTACCACTTGAAGCAGAGTGTTTAAGTGAAATAGATTAATGCAGTTTTAAGAATTCTTTATGATCAGTGCCTAATGACTTTAGTTTCAATGTATATGAACCACTGATAGAAAACCAACTGAACACAACAAACATAGATTTTTTTTTTTTTTTTTGGTCTTTTTCCTTTTTATCGGTACCAGGGATCGAACTCACAACTGCCTGCTAGCAAGGCAGGTGCTTATGCTGCTGAGCTAAATCCCCAGCCCCAAACATAGATGTTTTTAACTCCTCTATCTGACACGCTATTTTTCAAACATGGGATTCAGGGAGAAGTGACAACCCTATTATTTCAAAGGAATATCTGACAAAACAGCTACAGATAAAGTTTGGGCAACTATCATCTGAAATGAAGCGCTCCCTTTTCCTGTCTTGCCACTAACAATCAGCTCTGATAAACAGCGAGAGGAGCTGGAGCTACTGCAAGCCTGCGGCTGACTCTGCAGGTGTCAGTGAAGCAGGTGGAACCACTCGTCCTCCTCCAATTAACTTTGCACCCTGCATACTGTGCGTGGCTAGTTCACAGCACATGCTCACTACCCATTTTACAGGGTTACAGTAAGAAGATGCAGACATTTCTCAGAATCAACGCAAGATAGCCTTTTAATTATGGGATGGTTGGAGAAGGAAGCTCTTGAGATACTTCAGTTACTACACTTCCTTCCTGAGGATAAACACAGACTAACCAGCTGAGATTAAAATTTACTGGAGTGTTCAGACAAGTCTGATCTAAGGTTTTTTCATTATTCTCATGGACCTCTATGTGGACAGGTCAGTTATGAAGTGCTAATGTTCATTTAAATAAGTGTCTCATGCTAAGATTTCCATGGCCCACAGGGACACTTCAGAATGCAGAAAAGGAGAGAAAAAGCCATGTCTTTTGGCTGGACACATTTGTTCAGGAAGTCTCACCAATTCTGTGACTGGGTTTACTTGTTGATCCATCATAAAGTCCACTACTATGCTTTGGCTCTTAACACATCATCACATTTATTACTTTCAAGTCCTAATGGGGTCTCTCCTAGTCATCTTTTAAGGCAACAAGTCTAAGTCAATTCTTCCTCTACCCACAGCTATGCTGATACTGAATTAAATTCCTGTATTTAGGTTTTATTGGTTCAGTAATTGTTTCAGTGCCTATTTGTGTTGCAATATATTTTTTAAAAAAGTGTCAGCCCTGTCCAGTGTGGAAGAGACATGTGAAGATTGAAACGCAGTGTGACAAATGCCGCCTAGTAACGAAGAGGCACTACTTTGGTCCACCTTGCAGGAAGGTAAGATGGAGGAGAGGACAGGGAAACTGAGTCTTCCTATTGTTCTTGAGTAATGCCTTACATATTCACCTTAAACACATCAACTAGAAAGGATTCTGAGGCAAAATCTTTTTCTTATAAGGGCTAGCAAACATTTGATGTTTCCTGCACAAGGAATCACTGTCCCCAGCACCAGTGATATTCCGACGTTGAAGGCAATTTATCCACCAGGCACTGCCTTCTCCCTTCTTACCTAGCTTCTCCCTAGAGTTTGCCCTGAAACTCTAAATGCAGTATTTCTTTCCAGCAATCCTCAGGGAGACTTTCTTCACTAATACAGCCTTATTAGATTGTGAAACGTGGACAGTCCTGTTACACCAATTCAGCGTCACTGTAAACAGCACTTGCCTGCCCAGATCTAGCTGAAGTACTTAACATATGGTTTATGCATTTACTGCTTAGAGTGACCCTGGGTACCATACAGTACTCTACTGTACAGAAAGTACAGCTCACTTGCTCAAGGTGAGATATAGGTACATGCTGGTCAGGCTCTAGAAGTCTGCTCTCAGCCACCCAATTCATCCTGTTGACTTGGGTAGTGGTCTGTCTTTATATTCTAGGGTATGTAAGTACTAAGTTGGGGCATTTGCAAAAAATAGGAACAAACTACCATTTATTTAGCTTTGTTCCCTCCCATCCAAGACCAAGCTGATCTCTAAACAAGCATCAAAACCCAAAGCTCATTAACATCAGCATGTGCTTCAATAAGGTGAACACTACAATGATATACAATTACATTCTAATAATTTAATGCCCAAGAGCCCTGTAAAACAATTGTGAAGGCCCAGGATTATCACAGTATGCAAATGCGCTAGGAAAATCATTACCTATTTAGTCCCCTTCATTTGGGTGGGTTTAACATGAGAAGAATAATCCATGCTACAAGACGAGATTTCATTTTATAGCTGTAGTAACCAAGTACATAAAAGCCTGAATCTGTCCCAATAGCTTCTAAAAGATTTTTCCCATAGTGTCAGAGGCAAAAATAATGAAATCTTGCAAATGTACAGTTAATAGGACCCTGGTGGACACTAACTTCAAAAATGCCTGGTCTATAAGACATTAAAGGCTTGATTTTAGTTTCTGCACTGTTCCTGTTAATAACAATGTCTAATTAAAACATCTGTAAAATACTGATAGTTTTAATTTTACATAAAATTTCCAAAACAACTGTTACACAGTATAATAGATATCTGCAATGAATAGGTTATTAATGGAAATATTATTTTAAATTAAAATCAGGTTCTAAATTTAAATTAGTCATCTCTTGCTAATGAAGAGAAAAAGAAGTCACCCGTGTTGGGAATACAATTGAAAATCGACATCTGTGAAAGCAAATTCACTGGATCACTTGGTCTGAAGGGCAATTCATTTTGCTGCTTTCTGTCCTGGACTCTACTTGGCACTTCTGCTAGGCTTCACAATTGAGCTCGACATTAAAACATCAGCCTAATGCACCTTTCATTGCATCACTTTATAATTTAAAAACCACCACTCAACTTTATTCACAGTCTGAATCCCCCTTCTGGTTTTCAGCTAGGAGACAGAGGAGATTGCTATTCCCCATAGGAGCTTCTCCCGCCCAGCCCTGCGAACCTGATGAATATTTTAAGAGAAATGGCACAAAATCTCAGCTTTCTCTTTCTTTGGGTCCCATCTTCTTTAACAAAGCAAAACAAAAGGGATTAGCAAGGCTTAGTGGCTGGCTGCAACTCAATACTGTACTTTCTAATTAATGCACAATAAAAGAGGGTTAACACACTATCAGGATGAATGTTGTATATCCACTGGTGCTGCACTAAGACGGGAAAGGATCCACTCCAGACAATGGATCTGAGTTTCAGGTTCCTTCATATCCACACCATGGTTCACAGCAGATGCTGCAGAATGTGGTCCACTGCATGAGGGAAGCTCTCACAAGTCAGGTAGGGAGATGGGTTAATTTTTTCTTCATCTGCTGCTCTGTATTTTCCTGAAATGAAATTAAATCAGGTGAACAAAGGCTATGGCTAGGATATTAAACTAACCACATTCCCAGGCACCTGGATCAGCTAGGGACTGCCCGTATGATTATCACCAGTGGATCAGGGGCTCCACATTTCCTAAAGCACCTCTTACAGAGGCCTCAAAGGAGGCAATTCCAAGAAATGCCACATTCAGCATTTTCTCAGGCCTTCTGGTCTTTCACAACAGTCACAGGTAGTAGCACATCTGACAGTTAAGGTATCTTTCAAGTCAAAGTTGATGAAATCATTTTCTCCTTTCACCCTCAGCCCTGAAGACAAGAATGGTGATTAAATCAATGCTTTTAAATGGAAGCTCAGACCTCAGAGGGCAGAGGCCTCCTCAGCTCCTGAGGGTGAAACAGTACGTGCTCCTGCCAAGCAGGGACCCTGGGAGCCTGGCAAATCAGAGTGCCAGGGAGTGGGGAGGGAGCAACAATGAGTGATGGATGCTCACAGGTCTGGGGCCTGGCAGTAGTGGCCACACAGCAGGTGCCAAGTGGCAGGCGCACTGCCTACCTCTTCTGATTCTGGAATTTCAGGCTGCCTACTGTTCCCAGGCTTGGCACACAACTGAGCACTCCAGCTCATTTCACACAGCAGTCAGGAGAACTGCTACAAATGTCAATCGGATGGCACAGTCCCTGTTTAAAAACATCCTTAATGGGCCCAACTGCTCTTCAGGAAGAACCCTCCTATTATTTTCTCCCAGCATCTTGTCCTTTGCTTCCATTACATTTCCAACAACTTGCAATTATACGCTTATTATGTGTCTCACCTCTCATACCTGAGACTGTGAATTCTCAGAGAGCAGGAACAAAGTCTATTACATGCCTCCACGAATTTCCAGAACCTAACACTGTGAGCAGCCCCTGGCAGATAGCCCCTGAATATTTTTTGAAAGAATAAATAGTACAAGCTGTGTGCCATGGTGTAGCCCTGTGTTATGGCTTGTGTCTAGAAGTCCCCCTCAAAGCCTCATGCAGTCATAAGTGGGACTTTTTCAGAGATGGCTTGAGCTAGAGTGTGTGATGCTGGGATTAAGCCTGTGTGACTATCAAATCAGTCCACTGATTGGTTTAGCACAGCTAATCCCAGTAGTTTAAATATAATACATAAGGGACAGAAAGAGGCCTGTTCTTTCTTGCTTTGCTACTTTCTACACACCACGTACTGTTTCTCCTCTGAAATGCTGTCTGCCATGCCACTCTCTCTGCTTTGGAGCCAGCTAACTATGGACTGAATCCTCTACAAACTGAGCTAACTAAACCTCTTCCGCTTTTAACTCTGAGTGCCAGGTATTTTGTCTAAGCAGTGAGAGAGGAAAAAACAAAAAAAAAAAAAACCAAAAAACTACCAAAAACAAAAACTAAGGCACCTATAAGCCCCAAAATCTGGAGGTCTTAGGCTAGAGAATTGCAAATTCAAAGTTCAAACTTAGCCTAGGGGGCAACTTAGCAAGACCCTATCTCAAAAAAAACTTAAAAAGGCCGGGGGATATAACTCAGTGTGAAGCTCTGGGTTCAATCTCCAGTATGTCATTTAAATAGATTTTTAAAAAAGGGACAGAGCGAAGGAGGGACAAAAGAAGGAAATGCAGAGTGGTGCTCTAGTCTAGGGTCAGTAGAAGGAGGCTTCCTGCACTGCAGCCTCTGGGCTGCTTCTTTATTTTGCCTTTCTCTTTGCTCTCTCATTCCTTTTTCTGTGATTTCTGCTATTTATTCTTTTGCTTTCTCTTTTTTATTTTTATTCCAAATCCAATGCCCCTAGAAACAGAACCACTGTTTCCTACACCTCTTTGCTCAGCAGACATATGCCTAAAAACACTAACCATCTTTTCCACATCCTTGCCCTATGTTGGAAAAGATATTTCCTATCTTATTGTAATATCAATCTAAAGGACTTAGTGTCAAATGCAAAGGTCATTAATATATGTTTCACTCCTCTTGCACCCTTAAGATACCTGTCCACAACATGATTCACACAGCAAACTCTATTGCCAGTTTCTTTCTCGAGCTTAACTTCCACTAACTAAGCACAAACTCCTTTGTGAGATTTCTATGTGGTCTCACTGTTAAATGATAGAGACTGCTACACTACTACAGTACTTCCTGGATCCAGACACCTAAGGGATGAATCAATCAGTTTTTCCATCATGGAGGTTGAGGCCTCTAGACAGTTTCTGCTTCTGCTGGTTCTGCAGAAGAGGTTTCTTTCTTTTCTCTCTCTTTCATTCCTTCTTTTAACAAAAGATGAATGATGTAAGTAGCTTAGATATATGTTCTAGTTTTAGCATCTAGCATGGTGCCTGGCACACAGCAGGGACTTGATGGTGTTAGCTGAATGAATGAAGCAGCTGCATCTCTCAGGCTTTACTCTCTGCAGCAGCCTGTGCCTCCCTGGAAGAATAAATGATGAACAGAGGGAGGATACAGGAAGCTATGTTGATGCTATAAGATAAAGAGTAATTCCATTTTTTCTAGGTGACTATTTCACATGCTGAGTGGAAATTCTAGTTAAGTCAGAGGTTTTTCAAATGAACGTTGAGCATTTACCACATGATACCCACTAAGAAACAAAACTGCTCAAGACTATTCACAAAAAGTACTTATTAGTGAATATAAATTAAAACATTAATCTTAAACATTGGGAAGCCTAGCACTTACAAAAGGCACTGGATCAAAATTTATCAACAGAGCTTTTCTTTATGGTCTTAGAACATGTGTTTACTCTCAATTTTTCTGATCCAAGATTAACAGTATAAATGGGGTTGTTTTCATGAGATCAACTAAGCTACTTTACTAATTCCATATTTTAGATTTGACTGTTAAGCCTGTTGGCTTCTCTAAGATAATTTATGGCCCTGAAATAGGGCCATATCTGCTAATCACAAAGAAAGCAGAGTCAATGGAGATCTGCTTGAGGATGAGACACTCATAATAAAGCCCAGGTCTAGTTTTCATGGCTATTGTAAGTCCTTAATTATCTGAGCTAAAAAAAAAAAGGAAATGTTCAATAATGAAAACAAAGATGGAAGGGAGAATGGTGAATGTGGGTATTTTTTTTTTTGACATTTTTCATGTTTTTTCTTTTTGCTCATGTAACAAGGCTTTAATGTTTCTAGGTAGGGGATGATCATTTTGATGGAGAAATATGAAAAAAAGATACTGCTAATTCTGAAGTGACTGGTCTTCCTCTCTGCCAAAGCTCGTATGGCTCATTCACTCCAGATCCCAGAAGCAAGGACAGTGCTGATATTTTCACTGTTTCAACATGGTTTTGTCAAAACAAACACTTCTTAATCAACTGTGGCTCCATCTACATTTTTCTGTTTTTATTTTTCCCTGTAATGACTTTTCTTTTTGCAGTACTGCGGACTTGACCAAAGGCCTCCGTACTGAGCTACATCCCCAACTCATTTTTATTTTGAGATAGTATTGCTAAATTGCGAAGGCTGGGCTTGAACTCATGATCCTTTTGCCTCAGCTCTTCTGAGTGCTAGGATTGATTACAGGTGTGAGCTACAAAACAAAGTTTCTTTTCCTCCTTTTTTGGTACTAGGGATCAAACTCATGACCTTGTGCTTGCCAGGCAGGCGCTGTGCCATTGAGCTGCATCCTAGCCCATAAAATTTTCTTGAACAAACATCACAGTCACTTTCTCAAAACCTTTCCCTGTGGTAAGAATTTTGACTTTTCCCTTTTGTGAACAGCTTGTTAAACGGTTTTGCTACTATTATTTGAAACTAGGCAAATAAGCTCACAGAAATATCCCTGAAATCTTTTACCAGTTGTTTTAAGAGCCTGATGAAAATTCCAGGACAAGATTTCTCAATCTTATGTGCTATTAATTCCAAGTTCAGCAGGTCCCTTCTGAGGATGGAGTTGGAAGCAAACCTTTGTGTTACAACTGGAAAATCTCATTATGTTCCAAATGTAAAGGTATTTGATCCCACCCACAACTCCCAATCCTATTCTTTTCCTATCTTGCAAAAACCACTAGTTTACAGGATACACTGGATAGTATACTATGAGACACACGTGGGGTCAGTACAAGGACATCATTCTTACAGAGCTAAAGGGAAGAGTTGTGACAAGAGTCTCACACAGTTAGCCAGGGCAGAGCTGAGACCAGGACACTGACTAGTCTTCTGTAGTCAACACCATATGCACTTACTCCTCTCCAAGAAGGTCTTTTCTTTTTCTTAAACTTGTCTGACAGATCATATACAATAAACCTAATTTTGTTATAGGAAATAGTTCCTATTTAATCATCAAAAATAACAAAGTGAAAAGGGAAAGTGTCATATATTTTTACTTTTTAAAAATGGGAATATGAACACAGTGGATCAGAGCACTAAACTAGCCAGTTCCTAACGAGACTTCATCATCATACAGCAACGCACATAAAAAAGGTATTTTCGAGGAAGAGAAAAATCAGCCCCTTCCAAAAATCAGCCATGCTGGGACTGGGAGGAGACCACCAAAAGCCAACTAGCCAGCCTTCCTGATAACCCGCACGAGCCCCGTGGGGCCCAGGAACACAAAAGTCAGATAGTGCCTCCCATGAGCCTATTGGCGTGCAAGCTGAGAATCAACAACCCCTATCCCCAGGTAAGAGACCAGCTGGTTTGGAGGACAGGCTGAGTTGATAACAACTAAGGCACAAAAAGCAATTAAATCTTGTATTTTCTAATTGATTTTGCAGATCTGGGGCCAGCAGTCTGAGCATCTCTTGGAAGGATGACTGTATATGATATAGCAAATATGGGAGGTTTTCTTCTATGTTGTCTTTGAAATCCAACATTGTTCTGTATTATTTTGTCCTCATTAATAGTTTGCTTTATTCAATGTTCTGTTTTGATTGGTTTTATTTTATTTGTTTTGATTTGATTTTGGACAACTATTGTGAAGTTCACAAGATATACTATGGTGTTTACTATTGTTTTCCTAGTGTCCTGCTTTGAAGTTCTGTACCAATTCTGCTGCTTTGTTTTGACTGGCTTTGTTCTGTTTTGATCTGTTAGATTTTATTATCATTAAAATAAAAAAGAATCAAAGGCATTAAAATGATACAATAGCAAATAACTTGTACTTTAATAAAAAATATTTCAATAAAAGGAGTCCAATAAAAAAAAAAAAAGAAAAAGTTATTTTCACAGAGCATCACAATCCATGGTTCTATATACCATTTCAATGTGAATTGCATCATTACCATCGAGTATTAAAATATCTCTGGTCTTGATCTTCCTAGCTTTGTATATCATGTGCGTGTCCCCCATTCTTTTTCCCTGCAATCCTAAACCCATTTCATTTTTGCTTTGTGCCAAAAAGAGAATTAAAGTGCCCAGGGCTCTTCTACTTTTATAAAGGCTACTCTTTTAGCAATTGTGAACTCTACTTTCTTCTTGAAAAAGTACATACGTAAGATACCTACCAGTTTTTACTAAGATGCCCAGCATGCCGACGGTCTGAGCCCCACCAACATCATCCCTGCAATCCTGGAAAAACATATAGAAGGAACTTAGTCCAGGGTCTTCAGTCAACTTGTCAACAAACACTCTTGATGACATAGTAGGCTGCAATGGTCATCTGGGATCTTCTGGGGTTGGTCTTTTTTTAAAAATGAAACAGGAGAAGGTATAAAAAGAGTGACTTTATATGTGATACTCTGAAGGTGTAAGCCATATTTGGAAAGTGTCACCAACACAGGTGTACACTAGAATAAAGAATGCTTGTTACTCAACACAGACGTGTTGAGTCTTCATGTTTACCACACATACATCCTTAATCTCTTCAAACAGAACATGGTAAAATATTCTATGCATTATGATAGCCCATGAGGTGAATAATGCAACTACTATCAAAAAATGAAGGTGATTCAAAAGATAGCTTTTCTGTGGCCCATGTAATTTATTATCCTTATATGCCATCCAACTGCATGCGCCATGAGATCAAGTCAAGCAGAAGGATCATTTAAACCCGGGGTCTGAAGTCAGTCTGGGCAACATAGTGAGACTCTGTATCAAAAAATCCAACCCAACCCAACCCAACCCAAACCAGTGTGTGTGTGTGTGTGTGTGTGTGTGTGTGTGTGTGTGTGCGTGCATGCATGCCTGTAAGGAAGAATGTAAGGTAATTAAAAATCCACAGCCTGAAAGAAACAGCAAGAAAGATCAATCCTGCCAGCTCATGGTTATAAGCAGAATTCATTCAGATCATGCCTGAAGAAAATTTTTGCCTTAAAAGTCACCAATATTCCTCAGTAACAGGTCATGGAATTCAATTTTAGAATTGTGAAATCTTCATTCAGGGTCTAACTTAAAACCTTTTCTGCTATAACTAAATTTGCCCTATTGAGGAAGTGGCAATGAGGAAAGAAAGAGGAGAGGGGGATGTGGAAAAAGTGCATGAGGAAAAGGAGGAGAAACTGCCACTGCCTTGGATGATACAACCTGGCATATATCTGAACAGCTAACTCATGCCCCTCCCTCCTCCTCACCTGCCCCAGTCCTGTCATCTCCTGTAATAAGGAATTCTGGCCTCAGACACCACTGCCTCACATACACTGGTCTAGTAAAGTCAGCTATAGAATTTTTAAGAGAAAAATATGGAATGAAAACATGGTTTCTCAAAATATGACTGTGTTCAGTGATTATCATATTGATTTTAGATAAGTGACCACAGAAACACATGACATCAGGAAGACTAGGATAACATTTCTACCACTGAAGTTAAGAAAGCTGGGAGGAAAACAGTTGTGGTGACACATGCCTATAATCCCAGCACTCTAGAGGCTGAGAGAAAAGGATTATGAGTTCAAGGCCAGCCTGTGCTGCACAGTGAGACCATGCTGGAACCAAAAAAGGAATCAAGGGGAATGAAAAAAGGCATATATACCAACTTCCCATGATGAAGGTAAACATTATGTACTATACATATGTACTAATAAACTGATATTAAAAATAGAGCTAAGAGGGGCTGGGGATTTAGCTCAGCAGCATAAGCACCTGCCTTGCAAGCAGGTAGTCGTGAGTTCAATCCCTGGTACCGATAAAAATGAAAAAGACAAAAAAAAAAAAAAAAAAAAAAAAGTAACTCTTAAAAATAGAGCTAAGAGGCAGTTCAGATCCGGAGGTCCACTTCTAGCTCTTCTGCTAAATCAGCTATGGTACTAGATAGGAGATACACCTCTCTGAGCTTCAGTTTTCCAGTCTGTAAAATGAAGAGGTTTGGATGAGACAATCTTGAGAGTCACCTCCAGCCTCTCATGTTGTTTAAGAATTGAAACAAACCCTTACCATTTTATCACGTGGCATGCACTTTCCAGCTCTTTGCCTATTACAGCATACATAGGAATAACGTTTGTCCCATACACTGGGGCAAACTGACAAAGTGCTCACAGTCACAGATGGCTAAGGCTTTCAATCATCCCAGGCACAGTCCCGCCATTCAAAGGGTTGAAGTGATTAACATCTTTAGCTACTTGTGGCACAATAATTGAGAAATTCAACTATAAAGTAAATGCTTAGGAAAAAGTAATGGCATAATTCTTTAGGTATAGCTTGTCCCCTGCATAAATAATATTAATAAAAATTTAGATTTGTTGAGGGGTTCCCTTCAGAAAGACATACAGAGTATTTGACTTACAATATAAGTAGTTTTAGAATTACCTTATGTTCCCATCACATGTTGGAGAATGAGAAACAATCAAAATTTTGGTTCTTCAGAAGAATGTCACTAAATATCATCAGGAAAGCTTGCTTTACTTACTACTATTTTTACTGTGAGTAACAGAAACTCTGTTTCCCTACAATAGTGTTTTGAAGCTAGCTCATGACAGGAGTTCAGGGAATTGCTCTTCTACTTACATCTCCTATCATGACAGCTTCCTCAGGTTCACAGCCAGTACCCCGCAATGCTTCCAGAAAGAACGTCTTCTCTGGCTTTCCCACTACTATGGCTTTGGTGTCTGTGGCGTACTCTAGAGCAGTCACAAATGGTCCAGGCCCCAAGGCTAAGCCATCTTTCCTTTTGTAATACCTGGCTTTGTGGATTGCAATCAGAGGTGCCCCATCCAGAAGTAACCTAGAGAGACCAAGAAAATAAAAACTGGCTAAAAGCAAGGTTTTATAACTGGGAAAGAATGTCAGACTTACAAAGTGGTTTTATTCACATTCACAGAAACAAATAGCTTCTTATTAACTTTTAATGACTTGCTGTCTTCTAATGAATTCTCAAAGAACTACTGGGAATTACATTCAGCTACACTAAAGAAAGGTGATAGATTATTAAATCTGGGATTGCTTCAACCTTTTACCTTTAGTTCAGACACTTTATCCAAATCACCAGGGAAAGAGAATTAAGAGAACTAAAGCTAAATAAGGCACTTGAGGGGAGAAGCTTAACTTAATGAGACAAGTTGTTTCAGCCTTCCCTAATGATAAGCAGGAGGCTCCTGAGCCTCTGATAATACTACATGATTGTTGCTGCAATGACATACAAAATGCAGTACTGAAACAGTCGTATCCCTGTTCCTTCTACTCCAAAATGTAAATTTCTTTTCACTTCAGAAATTTAATAGAGCGTTTTAGAGTTTCTGTTTGTGATTTTATTTCTTTATTCTACCTTTTGACTGCTTTCGACAGTTTGCACCACAGACCATCTTCCCGAAGCATATACGAAGGCTGAAGGGAGAGTCTATAGTCAAGTCTAGAAACAGGGCTGACCATACTCTTATGCCAAACAAGAGGCATAAATAGTTTGCCATCAGTTTGATAATAACAAATGCTACATGTAGCTAAGGATCCTCAGTGACTCAAGCATAAACACAGTATCTCTCTATGAACTTAATACTTTCTGATCCTCACGTCCGCAAATCTGCCACCCAACTCAACAGAGATGCCTTTGCTCACAGAGCAGTACTCACGAACGGTTTATTATCTAATGGAATGTGGAATGTGATGTATGCCTTAAACTGCTTTTAACCCAGGTAATAAATGACTTCACTAGCTTAATTTACCTTATCTACTTAGTTAAAATATTTAGTGTGGCCATGGAGGAAGAATTCATCACATCTTATCCTTCACGATAATGAGTAATTAAATGCTTGACCATGAAACTGGTGTTATTCTTTTCAGTGGGCATGAATAACTTCCTATGGGAGTTACTGAATTCAAATATTTATGATTAAATATTTAAGTAAAAACCAATACTGGACAAAACCAATTACAGGGGCAGTTGGTTACTATAAACTGCTCATAGCACAGGACTAATTCTTCAAATTTATTTACCAACACTAACACAAACTTCTTTCTCAAAGCAAATTCTGAAATCCAGCCTTAAGAAACCTGCAAAATGCCCATTAGCCTTAAAGAACTACAGTGATAACAAAGAGATAGCAATGGGTGATTCATCTACCCCCTTTTCTACCCTACCCCCAGTCCCATTTATTTGCTTCTCTACCACGGAACTGGGATTCTTTATGCAACAGACCTCAAAATTGCTTTCCACTTACAAAGCCAAACCAAAAACTCATTTGATTTAGTGTTGTTAATATTTTATCATGTAGTAACTGGGGATAAGACTTATCAGCTTGACTGATGCACATACTCAGTTCCCAGGCAGTACCTATTGCCTTCTTCTCTGGAAGGACTAAACCTGTATATTCCTCTACATTTTCTCTACATGGGACATGGTTCTGCACTAGGCTAGGGAGATGCACATCTCAAGGAAATGGTTCCTGCCTCTACCACTTTTCTTTGCACAAGGCAAGTATCACTTGATCTTGAAAAAGCTGGGGTGTACCTAGAATGGAAAGGCACACATGTCTAGGACACAGATTAAAAGATCTTCTATAGTTAATTTTTTTTTTTAAATATCAGAAATAGCTGGCATAGTGGCATATCCCTGTTCCCAGTACTGGAGAAGTTGAAGCAGGACACTTATTATAAATTTGATGCCACCCTGACCTACATAGGAAATTCATAGCTAGAATAAACTGCATAATAAGATCTTAATCCAAAAGGCAAAAAAAGACACTCAAATACTTGGGGTGGTTTTATACTTTAGGCAGACAACAAAGGGTTTTGTTTTTTCTATCACCAGAAATACATCAGCAGGAAATTTTCTAACTGTAACAGAAAAGGGCATATGAGGGCCTCATTCCAAAACCTCTGGCTGTAAATTCCAGGAAAGTCAAGAAAAAAATATCTTAGGCAAGGTAGGCATGGTGCACAACTGAGGCAAGATGATTGTAAGGTCAAGCCCAGGCTGAATTTTCACATGAGGAGACAATCCAGAGATGCTGGCCGAACTCAATTACACCAATCAGGGAAGGCTAGAGCCAGTAATGGAAACTAGAACATCTATAAACCACTATAGCACTCTTACAAACACATCATGCTAACTTTTTTTTTTTAGGTACCAGGGCTCGAACTCACAACCTCACACTTGCCAAGCAGGTGCTTATGCTGTTGAGCCAAATCTTGGGCACCCATACTATCTTTCTTTGAATTTAGAAATAAAATAGAGATATTTACTATCACTTCTATTTAGTACCATACTGGAGATTCCAACAATGCAATAATTTGAAAGAGACAAAAATTATTACTTGAGATGCTACAATTATCTATATAAAAAATGTAACCCACAATATTATACAAATAAATCATTAGAATCAGCGAGTACATGTAAGACAGTTACTGGATACAAGGTAAATACACAAACACCTAATGAAACATATGTATTTAATTAAAAATAAATTTTAATGAAATGCCATTTATCATTACCACCAAAAAACACAAATGACAAGGATTAACAAAAACTGCCTAAGATCTATACTTTAAAAACTACAAAACAAGCCTAGCATGGTGGTATATGCCTGTAATCCTACTACTCAGGAGGCTAACATAGGAGGATTGTTGTTGAGTTTGAGACTAGCTTGGGCTACAAAGTGAGTTCAAGGCCAGCCTAAATTACATAGTGAGATCCTGTCTCAAAAAGACAAAACAAAACCAAAAAAAGAAAGCAAAAACAACCAAAACTACAAAACAATGATGCAAGAATATAAAAAAGAAAAGCTTAATTAAATGAAAATACATTTTATTCTCATAGAACATCAGTCATAACACACTGACTGGAAGACACATTATATTCAGATGCAAATTCTACTAAATCCACAGATTCAATAAAGTATCAAGCTCCCAACAAAGCTCTGTGGGGATGGTGGCAGAAATTAAGTTGACTCCAAAATCTACATGGAAGCACAAATAATAAAGAATCACTAAGACAGTCTTAAAGAAAAAGTTGCAGGATGTACACTATCAAATATAAAGAGTTATAGAACTACAGTAATCAAGACAGTGTGAATAAGGAATCTGGAAACACAGTCATCTAGTCATTCAATTTATGTCACAAACACAACGGCAATTCAGTGGGAGAAAGAAAGGTGTTTGCAATAAATATTGCTGAGACAATAAATATATGTGAGGAAAAATGAATGTTCATTTCATACAACTCACAAAAATTCAAATAACTTATATATTGAGTTGCTACATGTACAATTATAAAGCTTACAGAAGAAAGACTTGAATGGGTACATCACAAAAGAAATCAATGATCAATAAGTATATAAATAGTTATCAACAACCTCATCTGAGAAATACAAATAAAACTCACTAAGATACCACTATATACAACAGGCTATAATTATATAGCCTGTCAATATTCTGGTGAGAATATGGAACAAATAAGCTCTCATTTATAGTGAGTGAGAATGTATGACTTGGTACAGTTATTTTGAAAAACTACTTGGCAGTGTTTATTAAGGCTAAACAATTACCTATCCTATTATCTAGCAATTTCAGTTCTAGATCGATACCCAAGAGAAATGAATGCATATGTACCCCCAAAGACATGTAGAAGTACATTTATAGCAGCTTTACTCCTAACAGTGAACCTGGAAACCACCCAAATGCTTATTAACAGCAAATAAATAAACTGAGGAAAATCTATGTAACAGGCTATAGTATATGACAATGAAAAACAAAACAACACAAAGTATTACTACATGTAACAACTTGATAAATCTCAAAAACAGTAAAAGAAAAGGCTACACATATTATTGTATGATTTCATACATCTGCAGAACAAGAACTAAAAGCAATGGTCACTTTAGAGAAGGAAAGGCTCTGAGTAGCAAAGAGACCTCTTGTCAAATTCTGTTCAGTTGTATACTTACAAATTGTATACTTTACTATGTTACATGGCGATTTAGAAATATCACTAACAGAATATATTTTTGTGCCTTATTCCCCTGAAACTTTTATTCAGAGTAGCAAGAGCTACCTTGATCATAAAGGAACATTTCCAAATTACCAAACAGTGGCAGTGGCTGGTGGTATTCAATTCTATATTCCATGATTTTTCAGAAATTTAGTAACTTCTCAGAAACTTAATAACTTCAAAAACCTGGAAATAACTATAATACAAAACTCATGGCTAAATGATTTATGGCTCCTTATAACAGACTTATGTTCCAAAAAATAAACATGTTTGAGACAAAAAAATATGCAAAACATACTGGTTTTTGTTTGTTTTGTGTTGTTTTGGTTTATGGTGCTGTGGAATGAATGGCCTCGCATAGGCCGGACAAGTGTTTTATCACTGCACCACATGCCCAGCCTTTGCTGGGTGTTTTAAAAGTAGGTTACTAAATAGTGTTATATCAGAGTTTTGTTCTCACTTTCGTATAAACATGTGCATAAGAACAAACTAGCTACAAGATAAAATGTCAGCTGTACTTTTCTTGAGATAGCAAGATTTGGTAATTTTTAGTTTGATGTTTTTTTCAGCATTTAAAATTCTCCATGATGAACATGTATTATTTTTGTGATTAGGTATTTTTTTAGCCTTGTTAGCACTAAATTCAGGTTAGGCTATTTAAGTTCTGTAGCCCTTAGGGTTTCAATGTTTAAAGACAATCCAAATCCAAATCCTATTTATTCATACTTTCATGGTTCATATCTTTTACTAAAATCAATTCTTTAAAATCATTCTGTTTCATTTAGGCACTTAAGACACATCTATATATGTCCTATGAATAGCACACATACTCTGTACTACAGATTTGAAGAAACTTCCCATTAAAGACACTGTAAGTAAGAGGCAGTGTAATGTGTAGGTTAATGTGTCTGCTTTCATGCAACATGCCCTTGAAACTAGCATACTAAGCAATGGGTTTTAACATGCAATGGTTATTCTCACTATCAAGCTGAACAGTAATTTAATCACTGGTTCATCTGAGATGTCTATATTTGCCACATAAAATCTAAACAGCTGTAGTTACTGGCTGGATGGTATAGTCTCCATAGAAACATCAATATGCAAAAAAGGACAAGACCTAAAATCTCTGTTAACTCTCCATCCAGCTGTTAAGTGCATTTGTGAAATTACAGTTGACCTACAAGTACACTGTAATGCTTTAAAATGTGTTTAAAAAATCAATATAGTTAGAAAAGTATACTAATTAAGACAGCATCTCAACAATTAAAGTCAGTATTATGTCAACATGCATTTTTATTACCCTGTGTCTAGTGTTTATGGAAGACAGAGACCTTCCAACTTCCTATTAAATATGTCCTTTCCAAATTACCAGCTAAAACCAATCAATACCTTCTCTTTGAATTGTGTGATTAAAGGAAAGAACAAAGTGTAGCAGGGGTAAATTTAAAAGAAATAATAGGGAGCAGATAGGAAAATCCCTACTAAGAAACTAAAGCAGGATAATTGAAGCAGGTAAAGTGAAATAAATTTTAATATCATATACTCTAAAGTATATTTTCAAGCAATCTGGTATAACAGTGGACATGCAGATAATAACTATGGTGAATGAATTTTAAACAAAGGCTTGAATATCACAGTGACTGAGTCACAAATGAAAGTGTATCAAGTAGTTGTGAATTCCATTAACTGAGGGATCTAAAATGACCATTCACACATGGAAAAGATGGCTGTCCACAAAGGGCTAATTCTGACCACATTGACTTTAGATGAGGACAATGATTTTCAAACTGAACAATGTGGTAAAATGTATAAAACTAGTATTAGTTTTTTTAATTTTAATTTTTAACAGAATGAAACCAAACAAAATAAAACAGAATAGGGCTAATCAAAACAAAACAGTGAAAGTGATTCAGGACTTCAAAACAAGATAATAGGAAATCAATAATGGCTACCATAAAGCACCTTGTTATCTTCAAAACAGCTGCCCATATACTGTCAGACAGAATAAAATCAAATCAAACATATCAAAACAGTGAAAGTGATACAGGACTTCAAAACAAGATAATAGGAAATCAACAATGGCTACCATAATATATCTTACCTCTGAAATAGCTGCCCATGCCATCATATAATAAAATCAAACTAAACCAAACCAAACAGAATAAAACCAATGAAAACAATACAGAGTTTAAAATAATAGGAAACTAACAATGATTACTACCTTCCTTTTTTAAACATTTCCTCCCATTTTACTTTCACAGTATCTACTGTACATTTTGGATTGCACTACTCCTTCAGGTTTTTATAGTAGGGTAATAATATGATGTCTATATTTGTTCACTTATGAGTCTGAACCATTTCACCCAAAAGCATGATCATAAGTTGTATCCATTTACCTGTAAGAACCATCATGACCATCCTTCCTTATAGCTGAGTACCTTTCCACTATACAAAAATGCCATTATCTTTTTTATACATTCTGTGATTGATGGGCAAGCTACCCCTGCTTTTTTCTGATTCCCTGTCACATGGACATTATTTTTTCTTTGACTTTTAGTCTACCAATTTCCTTTCAAGTTAATATGTTTCTTGTATATCATATATTGATAGATCTTGTTTCTTGATCAACTCTGCCTGTGTTTCTTTTTATTGGTGACTTTGACAATCTACATTAATGGTATGGCCAGCATGCACTGGTTCATCTCTGCCTTGGTTTTTCCCTGGCACTGACTCCCTACACTTTCCCTCCATTCAACTGTTTGCCCTGCTTGGTGATCCCACTCTGCTTCTGTTCCTGGGGCTGTGACAATTTTTCTCTCTCTCTAGAATATCCTTCATTACTCTTTGTAGGGTTGGTTTGGTGGTTATGAATTCCTTCAGTTATTCTTTGTCATGAAAATATCTTATTTCTCCATTAATTTTGAAAGATAGTTTTGCATAATACATCAATATCTGGGTTGGAAGTTGTTTTCTTTTAGGACTTGAAATACTTCATTCCAAGCTCTTTTTGTCTTGGTGATTTGTGTTGAGAAGTCTGTGTGATTCTGATGGACTTTTCTTTATAGGTGATTTGTTTCTTCTAACAATCTTCAATATTCTGTTCTTGTGCTGAGTTTCTGCGATTTTGATTATTATATGTCTGGGTGTAGATTTATTTTGGTTATGGCTAGTTGGAGTTCTATATGTCTCACTTATCTGTATGCCAGGTCCTTTTGCCATACTAGGGAAGTTTTCTGCTATTATTTCTGTAAATAGACTTTTTATGTCATTTGTGTTGACTCCTGCTTTTTTGCTGACACCTATCACTCTTAAATTATTTCTTTTTGTGTCTTTTGCAACCATTAAATTATTTCCTGGTTCCTTGTTATTTTTAAGAGATCTCTCCTTTCATGACTGCTAGCTGCGAACCTGTCTTCAATTCTGAAGTGTCTTTCAAGTGGTTTTGCCAGCTTTCAATGGAGTTTTTAATTTCCTGGATACCTCTTTGAGTCTGTTTCATGCATTCCAATTCTTCTCTACAGTGCTCTTCCAAGTTGCCCTCATTGTTCTACACTCCCCCACTTTTTTTAAAAAATCTATGTCTTCTTTAGACATGTTCAGCAACCTTTTTATTATGTTTGTCTTTTCTTCTTTTACTTGAGATATTATTTCTGATTTGATTTCTTTCACAGCCTCTGGAAATAGTTTTTTTTTACTTCAGTTGCCATCATCCCAGAAATTTCAAGTGTGTGACTTCTACTTTCTTCTAAGTCTAACTCTCCTGTACTTGTTCTTTGACTTTTAGCCTACCAATTTTGCATTGGAGGCCACAGATTGATTTTTGCTTCTTTATCTTGACATTTTCCTGGGTTCCTCGGGATGGCAGGTTGTGGGGTCCCAGGCACTTCCCACATTGGCTACTTGTCCATGGTGAGGGGGATGGGTCAGGCTCCTGGGTTTCTCCTAACCCAGGTTCCCTAGAAGTCACTGGCGTGTGGGGCTTTGTTAAGTGTGGCTGGCTGGTTCTTCATGGCCCACACTGGTTACCTGCAGGAGAGTCCTGATGGTGGCCGGCATGCATGCAGGGGCTGGGCTGGCTGCTTCTCCCTGGTATTAAGTTTTATTAAAGTTTCCTACAAATAATCTGTTTATAGGACATATACATCAAGAAATGAACTCATGCCATTCATGGTGGTACAGTTATGTAATCCTAGCATTCTAGGGGGTCCAGGCAGGAGGATCTCAAGTTGAACATAGCCTTGGTGTAGGGAGCCACTGAAGCTGGAAACTGATCACACTTGCCAGGGTCAGTCAAATGGATCCAAGAACAAAGACTGCCTGGGGCAAGCTGTGAAAATAAGGGACTGCAGACCCCAAAATCAGGCCCTTAGGTTGCCATACATGCAGATTATTTGGCAATGGGGTGTCATGTAACATTAAGTTGCTCATTGTATAAATATACAACTGCAGTGAGCAGGCAGTTCCTTTCCTCCCATCAGGAAAGTAAGGGCTCCACCTGACCCCAGCTTTCATCTCTATTTTTCTCATCCTCACGTGGTCCTTCACCTGGGAATTCGGAAAACCACGTGAGTTGCAGCACCTAGGCAACTCAGTGAGACTGTCTCAAATTGAAAATAAGGCCAGGTGTAGTGGTGCACGCCTGTAATTCCAGATTTGGGAGGATGAGGCAGAAGGACTGCTGTGAGTCTGATACCATCCTGTGCTTCATAGTGAGACCCTGTCACAAACAAACCCAAAATAATCATAACAACAACAACAACAACAACAATAATAATAGAGGGATGGGGTATCTGGCTCAGTATAAAAGCTGTGGTTTCAATTTCCAGTACTAGAAAAACATTCTGTATAAAATATAAGTTAAAATGATTCTTATAGATCCTAATACTGGTAAGATAAATGATTTTTACAGCATTCTTGCAATTAAATACTAAAAATTAGGCTAAAGTTTTCTCTAAAAAGCTAGTTCAATATAACTCTATCCAACATTTTGAACAATTTACTTGTCATAGATTCAAAAGTAAACCATACTGTTTAACAGTTAGACAAAAAATAAAAGGCAAGCTATAAAAATAAAATTTCAAAGGAAAAGTCACTTTCACTCTAGTGCAGATCTGCAGGTAAATTCTGATCTTAGTTATCTCAGGAAGTATGAACAAAAGTGTAAGTCTTCCTTTTGGAAGCAGTACCAAGAAGTTCACATAGGTGAAATGCATGCACTAACTGAGGATTTATAATATCTAAGGTATGAATTATAGCTTCTATCAATAGGCACTTGGATGTCTCATAGGCCAAATAGCTCCAACCACTCCTCACTTGCTCCCAGAGTGCACGATTCCAGGCATGCACCACCTCTTTACTTTCTACTTCACCTGTTCAGGCTAGAAATCTGGATGCTCCTTGTGATTCTTTACCCTCAAACTCAATCATGAAATAAGTCATGTGGACACTACTTGTATCTGTCCTTCCTTCTACTACCAGTGTTCCAGTGCAGACTGTCATTATCACTCATGGAATAATCCATGTAGCCAGTGAGTAAAACACTTAAAATCTTACGTGTCAAAACTAAACAAGGAAACAGAAGAGTTTATAATTGGATAAAAAATAAGTAAGTAGACTTACCGGAATGCTTGATTCAGAATTTGATAATGAAAATGTTCAGGTGCCAATCCTATAACCACAGCATTAGGATCATTTGTATGTATTCCTGGAAATGGGGTAAAAAAAAAACACAAAAACTGTTACTAAATGCAATTAAAAGCAATGCCATATTTTGTAACAAAGTAGTTTTAGTCAATCAAGTGCACATTTTTGCTGTGACCATAATCTGAAGTTCAAGACATGGAAGGAGAGAAGGATTAGCAAGGAAAGAAAAAAGATATGGGAAAGAGGAGGAAAGCAAAAGCAGGAGACAGAGAGAGAAAATATCTGCTAATATTTTCCCATAGGGTTAAAATGCTGCTCAGTAACTAGATCTGATTTGAAAATTGTAACCTGATGTTCTCAAACAGGCAATTTCTAACTTCAAAATGCTCTACTGAGCATTTCAATCAACAAGAAAACCCATGAGTTCCCTATGAGCTGTCAAATCAATAGCAACTGATAAGGAACTGAGACTCTAAGACACATGGAAATTAGACTCTAATTGACACAGCTGAGGCTAACACATTCGTGATAAATATGGAAAGCACTGCAGATTCTATGGCTTTGTACATGATGCCTAACTAATTTTAGTTTCATAATATTTTATAATTAAAGCACATTATGCCAGGCATTTAGCTCAGTGGCATAAGCACCTGCCTGGCAAGCACGAGATCGTGAGTTCAATCCCTGGCACCAAAAAAAAAAAAAAAAAAAAAAAAGGAAGCATATTTTAGGGTCTTAGAATCTGGTAAGATTCCAGATGTGACAACCCAACAAGCACATCCACTATCACAGTTTTAAGATTGACTAAACGTTCTGTGGATTATCTATAGGTCAATTCCTTTATGCCTCTTCTATTACCTGTAGATACCCAAGCTTTTTGATTTCATTTCCTTCTTACTAGTTGCTGCAACTATTGAGTAACAGTGTTGGCTATAGTAAGAATTAAAGTTTTTTGTATTAACTTTTTATTATCTACCACCAGGACAAAGATACAGTACCCAGTATTAGCAAGGTATTTTGATTCCTTTCAAAAATCCACTATCTACCTTAGTTTCATGTATAAAAAGATATTGAAAAGCACAGTACTACACTCAATGACAAAAATTTCTTCTAAACCAACGCTCCTTGCAAATTTCAATTCCAGCTCACTGTTGAGACAATTAGAATCTTAATACTCCTCAACTAAAATTAAAAGAAAAATGAGATTAAAAATTATTTTGTACTCTTTCAGCTCACTCAGAAATGTAAATATATGGATACTTGATGCATTTGTTATTATTCTTGACTGCTCAGTGCCTGCACACTGTTCTCATACTTAGGAAACTCACCAACTCATGCATAAAGTGTGCTGAAGGATGGAGCTCACACTCTCACACCAGAGCCTGAAGACACCTGATATTTTCTAGACTTCCTTGCAGCTAAGAATGCTGGCATTAGACTGAGGCTCTATCAGTCTAACACCTCTACCCTGGGCTTGGAACTGAGATATAAAAACATAAAGGAGATCCTCCTCTGAAGGATCTATTGAGTCAGTGACTATTGAGTCAGTAAGATGCCAGGGAAGCAGTGCTGGTAGGACCAACATGGCCAGCTACAGAGATCACTGATCAGTAGTATCTGATCAATTCTGTGAGTGATGGTCCATATGATCCCCAGCTCCTTGGCAGTTCTATGGGCTATCTAAACAGGCTTTTTTGTTGTTGTTGTTGTTATAGAAATTTAAAAACAAATCATACTTAAAGTGGAAAGACCAGTATTATAAACCCTGATGTACCCATCATCTCATTTTGCAACCATCAACATTTTACCAATGATCTATGCTTTTTGAACGTCCTTCTAAAGGCAAAAGCCAAATATTACATCATTTCACTCCTTCACATTTCAATATGTCTCTAATCAACTAAGACATAAAAAGTTTTAAGGACCTTAACATTGTACCAGCAAAGTTAATAATAATTTAGGATCTCAGCTTTCATTTGAATTTTCCCAGTGTCTCAAAATGTCTTTTTAACATCTGGTGTGTTAAACTGGCTTCCCAATAAGGCCAACGCTGTACTTGACTATTGTCTCTTTATTTCTCAGTCTACAGCTTTACAACTCCCAGTAACTGATGCAATGACTTCATTAATCCAGGAAAAGGTCCCATCTTCTGGATTTGGCTGATTATTTACAGTATTATTTAAATTTTTTTCTTTAACCCTTATCTTTTCTGTTCACTGGTAATTATACCTAGAGTCTTCATATTTTCATAACCAATTTTCAGACAGTTTATTTCACAGGCAATACTATGAACTACTTCTTATACCACGTAAAGCACACAAGTTCTATTTCTAATTTGAAGATTGACCGAGGGATTCAAGTGGTGTTTGCCTAATCTGTTTATTTTGCAGATTCTCATCAGCTCTTCAGCTAATGTTCTTACAAATCTAGAATCATCTATTTTATGGTTCTAATGATATCTAAATGATAGAATCACCTATTTTATGAGGATTTGCCAAATGGTAACTTTCTCTGTCAAAATCTTGTTTGCACTTCTCAGCTGAAATTTCTCTACGAAGAATTCTCATCAAATATTTGGTCACCTTACAATACAGTTCAAATAGGAAAGACAAGATAAATGGTTGCTTTACTCTCTTAGTTTATCAATTTTCAGAGTATTAACGATCTCTAGTAGAGATCAGTAAGTTTTGTGGGCCTGACTAGCACTCTGAACTCATGGCTTTTTCTATATATGTTTTAAAACACTATCATTATTCTTATTGATACTAAAATTATCCCTTAAATTGGTGCCAATATTCTTTAGACAAGAGCTTGTCAGTTGCTAACGTAATCACCCAAGCACGACTCTCTCCCATCTAATTCCTGCCAAGATCTGTAGTAAGTTCTTTTTCCAAGAAATTACAGTTGGAAATGGTGGTAGACACCAGTCTGATCACTGCATTGTCATTACTTATAGGCATTTTTCACTAGATGATCTGGATAGTATTTTTTAAGAGAAAAAAGGAGTAATGGTATTTTCAACTCAGTAATATACAACTTTTAACTAATTTATAGCTCTTTTGACTTACACTTAAAATTCTATGTCTGGGCTGGGGATGTGGCTAAGTGGTAGAGTTCCTGCCTGCCTGCACAAGACCCTGGGTTGAAACCCCAGCACCACTAAAAAAAAAAAATTCCTGTCCTAATAATAGTAACAGTTATTATTCTGTTTTATTCACATGTATATTTTTAAAATTTACCTGTGTGACTAACAATAATAAAATTACTGAATGCAGTTTAAGATTTCTTTGTGGTTCTTTTGTCCTTGGGACTTATCCTACAATGAAAAAATGCACTGAAATATTGTATTTTAAAAACACACGATGTAACTTTTCTATAGCTGGTTACATTACAGAAAATATATTGATATAGAGTCCATTTGTTTCGTTTTGTTTTCACAAACTAGTTTGTTTTCTATTTTTTAATGATCTTTCAATTATATAAACTACACAGTTCTGAAGTCAAAACTAAAGAGATGGCTCCTTTCCTGATCCCATCTCTTGTCCCTCCTTTTCCCTTATAGGTAAACAATTTTATTAATTTTTCATTGAGGCCTTCTTTGGATTCCTTTTACTAATGTAAACAAATGTATACATACGCCCATTTCTCATTTTTCTATTTAACAATGACACAAGGTTTTCTATACCTTACTTTTTCATTTGGTAGGTCTTATGAGGATCACTCTTGATTGAGAGATAGAACTCTTTGTTATTACTTATCTTTCACCTATAAAGCATTTCATTTTGTGGATATAGTATATTCAACCAGTCCTTTCTAATGAACACTTGGGTTGCTTCCAATCTTATTACAAATAAGGCTGTAATGAATAACTTTGTTCATGTCATTATATATTCTTGTAACTATATCTCAAAGATAGATTCCTGTTTTACAAGCACTGTTTCATACATAATTTTGTTAGCTACTGCCAAATTCCTCTCTATAGGAACTGTGCTATTTTATATTCCCACAGCACGAACATCTTTCTAATACATTTTCAGTTTAACTCAGCAAATGGGGGTTTTTGTTTCTTATGAATAATAATTTGATTGACACACTGGTATGTTTGTTACTAGTTTAGGTTTGGTGGTTCTGCCCAACTGTACAACTATAGTGAATTTCACTAACCTGCAAAGCTAAAACAAGGTCTTTTAAGGAATATAATCACATTCATTTTCTCTATCATTTCACTTAATATTATCTTCAAAACCAAGCAATGTGGCAAAACCTCATAAAACTATGACAATATCCCAGAGCTTGTTAATTTTTCCAAAGAGAACACAGATTTATTTTTGCTTAATTGAAAAACATTTCACATTCATTATAAAATCTCTGCATCATCCAGAATGATACCTATTTTTAAACAAGGATATCTTGATTTATCTCATTTAATCAAGTTAAAAAGATGGGATCCTGGATTGAGTTATAATATTCAAAGTATTTCTGATCTATGCCTTTTTTTCCCCTGATCCACGCTTTTTTCAAACTGTGGGTCACAATCTATTAGTAGATTATAAAACTAATTTGGAGAGCTCTACGTAGCAACAAATTAAACAAGTACACCAAATACCCAATAAAGTATATCTCATATTGTTTAACTCATGTAAACACATACACACATACATGTACTAAGTAATCATATATGTTTCCTTTATTGTGAACAGTGATCAAAAGTTTTGAGGGGTCGGGAATATAGCTCAGTGGCACAGTGCATACCTGGTATGCACAAGGTGCTGAGTTTGATTCCTGGTTCCAAAAAAACGTTCTGTGAAACATCAATTCAGATTCTAATTTTTTTTATCAGTATTGTTGACTATTCCAATAATAATAAATGTAAATCAAAATAAACTCAATCTTATGAATAATTTACAAGTAGATATGAAGAATTCATTTTTTTTTCCTGTCTTTTTGAGACAGGGTCTCGCTATGCAGTTCAGGCTGGCCTTGAGCTCACTTTGTAGCCTAGGCTGGTCTCGAACTCGCAATGATCTTCCTGCCTCAGCCTCCCGAGTGCTGGGATTACAGGTGTGAGCCACCACGCCTGGCTCAAAGAACTCATTTTTAAATCTTTCCAAATTTCTCCCACCTTTGAAATCAGGTAGTGCTCGATCATCAATCAGCAGCATGGGCCTGACTTGTTTCTGCTCTACTAAACTTCTGGCTGCAGTCAGAGATGTGAATATTTCATCTTCAGAGATATCAAATTCTAGTTTTTTCAGTCTTTCTAGTAGATTTTGTTTGCTTTCTTTGGTTGTATTGGTCACAAACCTAACCACTACTGAAGAACCACGTAATCTGGAAAAGTAAAATTCAGAAGTTAAGAGGCAGCTTTCATATCCTAGTCCCATAAAACCTCATAATTTGATAAAAGTGTGCCAAAAGTTACAACAGTGGTGGTGAACCTGTGGCATGTATGCCACAATGGGGCTGTTTGTATCACTGATAGCCAAAAAGGTTCACCAACAACTGTGTAAAATAAGTCATCAAGCATTTCTTATGGATAAAACCTCTTTTTCTTTTAATTTGTCCAGGATCCTTACAAATTATATACTAAGGTCAGCTTCATTTCCAACCATCTCTTTTTTTTTTTTTTTGTCTTTTTCATTTTTATCGGTACCGGGGATCGAACTCACGACCGCCTGCTTGCAAGGCAGGTGCTTATGCCGCTGAGCTAAATCCCCAGCCCCCCATTTCCAACCATTTCAAAGTCAAATTAAATAAAGTACCTTCTACTTTTTTGGAGGGTCTTCTGTATTTTAACTGTCACTTACTACAGAGTTGAGTAAAGAAATGAACCACTACTGCACTCACAGATGAGAAGTAAAAGTTTTCTTAGAGATTATCTACCGGTGCAACACTTTCTTCTTAAAAGGTGAGAACAGTAAGTCCTAAGGAGTTAAGTGACTTGCTAGCTTTTCACAATTAATCATCAGTAGGGTTAGGAAGAGATTCATGCATCCTGGAACAGTGCTGATCTAAGATACTAACGGTATTTCTAGGTGTTCTTAGTGACTAGCTAAGCTCAGATGAGGTACTAAGTTTATAACCCAAAATTATCTGGACAATCTGGCCCCAGTATTCCATTTTTATAGGAAAAAAAGGGTGTTACTAGTTTAGGTCTGGTGATGTAACTTGATGTAAATTACTTACATACAAGACTGATTTGATTCCATGATCTCTTTCTGAAACCTAAACTGGCATGATATCTGAGAAAAAAATTCATCACACACTGATTTGATTCCATGATCTCTTTCTGAAACCTAAATTGGCATGATATCTGAGAAAAAAATTCATCACATACTAGCTTTCTCTAAAAATAAAGTCCTACAGTGTTTTAATCCAAAATCTAAACATAATTTTAGTCATAATTTTGAATTTTATATTAATATCCCATTGCTTTTCATTTTATGCTTGCCCCAAAAGGCTAGAAAGCATAAAAGTACTAACCACAATTTAAAGCATACAAATAAAACAGAAAAGAGGTTTTTAAATAATCACTTAAAGAACATTAATTAAATTGATATGATTAATTCACTGTAATCATGATTCGCTCTTTTAACATCTGCATGGTAGTACTTCTGTGCAACACATTAAATTTGGCAGTTTATCTTGCAAAAGACATTGATTACTTCAACATTGCTATCATTCTAGAAATGAGTATGAAAATACCACATCATTTTTAATGAGTTTCTTCTTAAAAACTTTTCATTTTACTAGTCCCTCAACTTCCCTTGTCTATTTGTTTCTATAGAAACCAAACTGCCAGTGCTTGTACAGTGACTGCTCTGAAACAGAAACCTGCCTGTGCCTGGGGCAAAACAACGTGCAGGAGGCAGGAGCCTCTTCAGAATGGCAGGCTTATAGTTTACAGAGCTATTTAGAGATGTCACTGTTCACCAGAAATAAATGTTTTCAACTAATCCAGAGTAGAAAGCTCATCTTTAGATCAGCAAAAGCTGTCCACAGGAGCAGACTGACTGGTGGATAATCCTTGCTCCCACAGAGCATGAGGCAGAGACCTCTTCAACAGGTAAAAAGTCTAACAGTGCACTTTCGTTTCCTTTTGGTTTTAAACAACATACTGTATTTCTCTACCTATGCAATGAACATCAGGATTCCTATCAAAATTGATAGCTTCTGATACCTATCAAATTTATAAGATTTTTGATATTTCCTAGGTCTCCAGATTGAACGTAAGCTCCAAGAGAATACGAAGCCTGTGTCAATCTTTTGCCGGTACCTGGCACTGTGATACTCCTGATCAATAGCACAAACATTTTAAAGTTGGAAAATGATATGCACCATGTATGCAATACTGCTGAGTATTTTTTCAGCACCCAGAAACAAACAGTCACATTTGTTCACTTTACACTGTGAATGTGTATACTGTGTATACTGACTATATGTAGGCTTTTGTTGATACAACTATAGTTGGAAAAATTAGGAAAAATTAAAACTGGAAAAATTAGAAAGTTTCAAGTCCTTTTTAATCAAGCTCTACTGAGTAGTTGCCCACGCAATGTTAAATCTTAAGATGACGCAAGAGGAGGTAGAATTACATCTGTGTTTCACTTTGGCTCTAAAATTTGTTATTTTTCCAATGCTTTTACACATTTTAGAATTTTGAGTTTTCATTCTCAAATCTTTACTACTGACGTAGAAACACATAAACACACACACACACACACACACACACACACACACACACACATACACACACACATACACACCCCTAGAGCAAAAGGCCAAACCTAATAAAAGCTAAGAGAACAATGTTTGGAGGATATTATAATGCATACATCTTCTAGCTAAACCCAAGGCAGTTTGTGTATATATGGTAAGCTGGTGAAATGCCATCTTAAGGCCATCCATTTAGCTAATGATCTGCCTTGGTAAAATGGCACTTCCAAACATAATTTGTCAGCTGAACCTGGAGGATAGCTTGCCTTTTAAGAGCTTCCTGTGCGCCTGGCACAGCTGCATCTTCAACGTGAAGTGTGCCATTGAGATCTACCAAAACAGCTTTTAATGCACGGCGTGCTGCCATCCTTCATTCCCTAGGAGAGAGCAAATGAAATTAAAAATACAGTTTAGGAAACAATGGACAATTAAAAACTGGTAAGTCTTCAAAAATACTATTCATAGCCAGAAAGATATTGCTTGTGTTAAGTTGCTTCTCTGTTCAGAAAAAGTTTTTAAAAACCAAAACCCAAAATATGATCCAAAAAATTTTTATAATGCTTAGTTTTTTTAAATCTTCAATTAAAACTACAAAGGGAAATGTTAGATGTTGCTATTTTACTTTGAGTTTTCTCAAAATAACCCTGGTGAACAATTCACTCATTTATTTCATTTTTAAACATCAGAGAAGTGTACTCTGAAGTATGAGCAGATAAAAGCACCATATTAATGGGGTCTTGTTTCCCTTTGGTCACATATAATGAGAATGTATTAATCGCTATTCCCATTGCTGTCTTAATGGTATATGTGGTCAAAAATCTATCAGTTATTTAAGGGTCATTGAGGACAAAATCTTATGCAGTAATTTTTAACTAAGGAGGTATTTCTTTATCTTACCATGTGCAGCTTTTTTTTTGCATATTTTCACTTTAAATAATTTCTATTGTGAGCTATGGCCTATATAGAGTATAAAATAAGATAAATATGATTTGAAAATAATAGGTAACACCAGTATGGTAGCTAAAGAAGAAGTGGATAGGAGTTAATTTATGGTTTTTTTAATCCATTTATTCAGGTATATATCTTTCCCATTTGATTGTTTTTATAAGGAAATACATCAGACATTCAAAAAGATATAAAGGATCATACAACAACAACTCCTGTTTATTCATCATTCAGTTTTAGAAATAAGATACAGTACAGGTGGAGCCCTTGGTATAACTTCTCTTACCTAATTTTTCTTCTTTCTCTTCCCAAGGCACTACATAGTCAAAGTTTTGTATTAATACTATTTTGTGTGTACTTAGCAACTTGCTTCATTACTCAACATTATCTTTGTGAGACATGTCTGCATTAACACATGTAGTTGTATTCAATTATCTTTCCACTTATTCTGGTATATAAATGTCATAATTTATCTGTTCTCCTAATCATGAACATTCAGATATTTTCCTGTATTTTATTATACTACAAGATAACTCTATGAACATCTTTGTACATGTCTCCCAGTAGATACATGTTGAAAATTCCTTTCAAGTCTACTAGAGTCTGAAGGTACATGCTCATCCTTACTCTTATAGAACACTGTCAAGCATATCTTCATAGGGCAAGTGTTTATTAAACACTGACACGTGTCTGAGGCTGGGATAACAGCAAAGATGGAAAAGCCATCTCTACTAAAGTTAGAGTCAGAAGGACAGGGATAAAGTTCAGCTAGAGAGAACCTGGGACATGTAATAGGAAATTACCAAAGGTTTATGGAGTATGTTCTAAGAAGAACTGAATCAAGGTGGCACTGCCCCCAGAGCCTTATTTTCCCTTCAACATGGGCTTGCTAACCTCACTGGGCCCAGCTCTCAGGGCAGCCAGGAAAACTCTACTGTCCAATGGTACCCTCTGAAGTAATGTTCTCCCTTAGTGCATTCCTGTCAGGGAAGCAGAGAGAAAGCAGAGTTGATTCCTGAACTCCCTTCCCATTCCAAGGGAGTCATCGCCACATACATGATATAAATATATCTTTTATTTTTGGTACTGGGAATTGAACTCAAGACTTCATGCTTGCTAGGTAAGTGCTGTGCTGCTGAGCTACACTGCTGGCCCAGTATAAATACACAGAATAACATGAGTGAGCTCTGGAACTGCAACCAACTGTTGCAAAATACAGAGTAATGATGAGCATCATACAATGAATTTTTTCTTTGTTTTATCAAAGTTCTTCGCATACAGTCCATTCCGGCCTTGAATTTGCTATGTAGCCTAGGCTAGCACAGAATTCAAGATTCTCCTGCCTTAGCCTCCAAGAGTGCTAGAAGTAGTTATATACACTACTATAACAGGCAACACAACAAATCTTTTTCCAAGTAAACTACGTTATATTTAAGGCAAAACTGAAACTTTTAACAGAAGAGATTTCCTTGACTTAAGGCTTTCTTAAACAAGATAGAGAAAACAGAAACCACAGCTGGATATGGTAGTTCTACCTATAATCCCAGCACTCTGGAAAGCTGAAAAAGGAGGATTTTAAACCTAGCCTGTTCAACTTAGTGACTTAGCAAGACTCCATAAAAAAAGGGAGGGAGGATTTTGGGTGGAAATATGGTATACAGGGGTCCTGGGTTCAATCCCAATCCCAAAACCAAAACCAAAACCAAAACCAAAACCAAAACAAAACCCTCCTGAAATTATAATGGAAAAAATAGACAAATTCAATTATATTTTAAAAGTAACTTACAGAGAATTAAATATACAAAAAAGAACGTAATGTGAGAAAAGAATGTAGAAAACATAAACTTAATAAAAAGACAAAAATTGCAGAAAAATTATGTAAGATCTGACCACATACTTCACAAAAGAACAGATCTGAATAGTAAACAGACTCTCAAAACTCACTGGTGATGAGAGTGAGAGAATCGACTCCCCGTTTGTAATATAACCCCCCCGAGCTATAGAACAGAGCAGTAAGGAATGTTTCACTCCCTAAACCCTCCTTGAGATATCGGGGCAGGACAGGAAGGAATGCATCTGCTAGTCATTAACCACAAGATGATCTGTCCTCTGTAAAGATAAAGATAAGTAAAGGAATGTGCTAGATTAGACCAGGACTCTCGGTCTCCATGGTTACTCAGCCCCAGATCCCTCGAATCAGCATCTGCCAAGTCCTGCGCCGTTCAAAATTAACCAATGCGATCTGCTTCTGTAAACCCGCTTGCGCCCTTAAAAACCCTGCACAAATTCCCCTCGTGGCCCTCCACACTCGTTTGCCTGGAGGACCCCATGCGCATGGAAATAAACTTTTTTTCCCTCACCAAGAGTTGAGTCCTTGGGGTCTCTTTCCCTGCGGCGTCGGCCCTAACATCTTGGAGGCCCTAGCGAGATAGCACGTCTCACGGGAGGTGACCTCAACGGCTCTGCGGTGAGTGAGTACGACCGGTCGCTTCTTATTTTTACTCTGAGGATCAATCTACCGGTATTTTACGCCCCGAGCCAAACGGCTCCGATCTAGGGGCAATTTTTGTTACCAGTTTTTGTTATCTGTTATCTGTTCTCTGTTCTCTGGTGACCAGGGGACGCCCCACACGGTTTTCCGTGACTCACCGTTTGCGATAGGATTTTCCTATCGGTTTGGGGAATTTCATTCCCAATCTGTGGTCCGTCCGGGCCAATTTGGAGACACCCTCTGAGGTGACTCGTTCGGGGAATTTCATTCCCAATCTGTGGTCCGTCCGGGCCAATTCGGAGACACCCTCTGAGGTGACTCGTTCGGGGAATTTCGTTCCCAATTTGTGGTCCGTCCGGACCAATTCGGAGACACCCTGTAAGGTGGCTCGTTAGGAGTGAAACTGATGCGTGAGAGTTAGGTGGCCGGCCTGTTTGTCCTGTGTGTCGTGGGTGTTGTGATTGGTTATTTGTTGTATCGCGCTTGCGTTAACCGCCCTGTGACTATAGAACATCATGGGACAGTCGACCTCATCCCCATTGTCCCTCACCCTCGACCATTGGTCGGAGGTGCGGAAGAGGGCTCACAATCTCTCCTTGCAGGTCAAGAAGAGTATAGCAGGATTTCTGCTCGACTGAGTGGCCTACTTTTTCTGTGGGATGGCCACCAGAGGGGACTTTCCACCTTCCCCTCATCTTAGCAGTTAAGAACATCATCTTCCGCCCCAGATGAGAGGGCAGGTCACCTACATCTTGGTATGGCAGGACCTCAGGGAGGAGCCCCCACCGTGGGTAAAACCCTTCCTTCCTCCGCCTTCTCCTTGGTTGCCTGTTTAAACTTGTTACTAACTTAGGGGCTTGTTGCCCATTTCTGTTGTAGGATCCATATGGCTTATTAGATTCAAGATTCATGATAAGAAAAATTATTTCTTTTAGCTGACCAAACTGTGCAAGAAGCTCCCTTTGTTTGTGTCTTTAATGTTGTGGCGCCTTGTTTAATATGTAAGACTTCAATTGATTGCTTGCAACCTCGGCATGCCTTTTAAAAGGAGTATTTTTTTTTTTCTCTCTGGTGAAAATGTAAACATGTGCACATATATGTATATCTATGGTTGTTAAGAGTCATGTCAACTTTGCCAAGTAAAAACCAGGCGATACTATATTTGAGCCAGTTAAAAGGTTACAGTTTTGTTTTTAAAATACAGCATTTTTATATGGTAAAAAGACATAAAATAAGCATTTTTTAGACTACTAAAAGGTGACTTCAAGGGTTTTGTTGAAAACTTTGATGTTGTCTGAGAAGTGAGAAAAAAGGTAATTGACTGGTAATAGTAAAAAGAGGGACAAAGAGAGTGGTCTTCAAGTAAAGGTGTCTGGCTATGCCAGAATATAGAAAAAGATTAAAGCTTAGTTTGAGAGGTATTATTGTAAGTTGTAGAAGGCTCAAGAGGATGTAAATTTTATTTGTCTTGATTTATAGTACTACAAATAACAGGTTTGACAAGAAGTAAATGTGTTCAGAATTTGACAGTATTAGATCAGTTTTGGTAGAAGTATACATAAGATTGTACTTTGCTACAAAATGTTTCCATTAAAATGAGATTATAGGTGATACTAGAAATAAGATACAAGTTCTTGCATGTACTGTAAACATCTGGGAGATTATGCAGCACAATTTTGTTACCTGTGAAAAAGCCCTTTTTGTTAAGAATATAATTTTAGTAAAATGATGGCCTGTCACGTGACACCCTTGGACAAAAAGCAGTGTGCCATCCAGATGAAGCCAGCTCTCTGATCCGGAATGCCAAAACCATGTTCTCCTTTTGTGCCACCCTGACTGAACATCCAGAGGTAAGAAGGTTTCCCAATATAGCCAGTTGTTCTCTTTGGAACTCAGTCGGCCCCACATGTTAGACAAAAATTACAAAGGTTTGAGAGGTTT